TGAGAATCGAAATTAGGGTATTGTAACGATGTGAAATTTGCTTTGCGATGACTTACACCACCGCCACCACCTTGCTGCTGCTCGCCTTGACGAGGAGGCAAGACTTGAGCTTCGGCCATTGCGTCTGCTCCTATTCAATTGCAGAGAATGACAGACGTTGTACAATGGATCGAAGAAGACCTGCAGGATACTACCTTGATACTAGAGTCAAGGTTGTTGGTTGTTGCACCTGAGGCGACGTGTTGGTTGGACAGAGTTCTGAGAAGTTGAGGTTGCTCCATGGAAATTGGAAATCCCCTCGCAGTCCACTTCAGACTCCATGACAGTTGACGTTGACGTGCTGCGGGCACCCACGAATAGCGATTGGCCACCAGAACACATACCCCTGTACCTTGGACTGCGGCGGCCGTTGTCGGCTCGGAGATTGACCACGTTTAAAAGATGCGTCCACTAAAAGAGTTTAAGATACAGTGCATCATGGGGAGATCATGGCCCCGCCATTGAACGCATCAATGATGTTCAAGACAGTGCTCACGATGCGAGGTTCATGCTAAGCCATGCTGGGGATCGCCCTATCCTGCTAGAACACGCCTCATGTCCCAGTGACCAGCTGACTTCACTCGTCAATGCCATTGTCCAGTAATATATCTCGTAACTGGCAGTTTGTAGTGGCACAATCTACATGAATGCATGAAGCACGGCCGCAAGCAGCACCTCCGAAGACGTGGCTCCCATCGCTCCATATCAATAGCCCGATAGGCTGTTCATGGATGTTTGTGTTGGTCAACTAACTATAGTACCTAGTACCTGGGCTATTCATATGACTACTATATAAACTCGTAAACTTGCATTCTTTTGACTCTTTCTTGTTTCTATTTCCTTGTTGAATCACGATTCATGCTCAAAGTTTGACTCATCTAGGATATTCTTAGTCCAAGTTGAATCCTTTAGAGTCGCCACATGAGACTCACCGAAACAAGCGTTCCATTGTTAACCGCCTTCGTCATTGTTCTCACTTTGTTATATAATAAATAGTCCTCCTAGGAAACTCAACTCTTTTTCAAAAGTTGATCGAATTCTTTCAAAGACAACCTCTTTATATATACTCTCACAACCTACAGTCTTTACAACAAATCAACAAACAAGTCCATCATGACTGCTGACAGCACCATCCCATCACAGGCAGCCGTTGTCTCACAAAACGGTCACCCTCGAACTAAGATTTGCGTCTACTGTGGTGCTGCTCCTGGTGCGAGTCCTGCTCACATCGAAGCTGCTCGTGCTCTTGGAAGAGCCATGGCTGAAAACAACATTGACCTAGGTGAGTCACTGCAAAGAGGCGGTCCGCCAGCGACGGAAACCATCGCGGGCCGCAGACCGCCGACCTCCGGGTAAGACACCGTCATGACTAACACCGGGCAATAGTTTACGGAGGTGGAACTGTCGGACTCATGGGCGAGGTGGCAAAGAGTCTCTGCGCAATCAACGGCCCTGAGTCTGTTCATGGTATCATTCCTGAGGCTCTGGTCAAGTTTGAACGAGATGGCACCTACGGAACTGTCAACGAGCATAACCACATTGTACCCGAGGAGTCTGTCTATGGTCGCACAACAGTTGTCAAGGACATGCATACTCGAAAGAAGCTAATGGCCGAGGAGGTTTTTGCTGGTGGTCCGGGCAGTGGCTTCATCGGCTTGAGTGGCGGATTTGGCACTATGGAGGAAATCTTTGAGACAACTACCTGGAACCAACTGGGAATCCACAACCGCGGCATCGTTCTACTGAACATTGAGGGCTACTGGGACGGTATCGTCCAGTGGATGGACCGCGCTTCTGAGGAGGGTTTTGTGAAGCCTGCCAACAAGAACATCCTGGTTAACGCCGACACCCCTGAAGGCGCAATCAAGGCTCTTCGCGAATACAAGGTCTCAGATGCTATCTATCAGCTTCAATGGGGCAGTCAGTAAGCAGTTGTTTTGAGGCGCTGGATCTGGATCCGGGTTTGGATTGGATATTGGAGATAAACAGGTGTTTTAACGGTGTTTTACGGATAGTTCTTCGTTTCCGCATTTCTAGGATAGGATAGACTGGCGCTCCATAAATAGGCGGACTGATGACCCAAGATACCTGCTCTGTTTTGACTGACCAGGCGTGAGACCCATGAAAAACTGTCTTTGCAGTGTAATTGTACATGATCTATTTAGCTAGCAAACCGACGCCACGTGTATCCGCTTCATCATTCGTCACACGTTTAGCTGTCCACATCCATGCCCTCGCCCTCGCCTTCCTCTGCACCGCCTTGACCCTCACCAACACTCTCGATCCATGGCTGTACCTCGAATCCATCGTACAGCTTGAAGGGCTCGACCTTCTTCTTGCCGTCCTTTGTGTCGATGCCCACTACGCCAACTGATGTGTTCTCTACTGTAAGCTCCTTGTCCTGGACCAAACTCTCCTTCAGGGCCTTAAGACCGTGCTTGACCAATTCCTCCCTCGAACAATCGGCGAACTCGTCGATGTTGCGCTCAAGGTATGTTCGGGCCATTTGGCTTCGCGCGCCAATGGCAAAAGCAAGCATCTCCTCTGTCATGCCTGAGGGCTGGAACTCGAACAGATGGGGTCCGCGCTCGTCAACACCGGCAACTAGCAGACCGACACCGTAAGGTCGCTTTCCGTACATCTGAGTGTTCATCTGGGCCTTCTCACCGATCATGTCGACAAGGGATCGGAGGGGAATGGCACGGCCGTAGGTGAGTCGGTGCCCTAGACACTGCTGCTTCATGAAGTTGGAGAGGACGCGAGCATCGGAAGTAAGACCGGCGATGGCGATGCCGGCATGTTCGTCGACAGTGAAGAGCTTCTTCTGGTAGGATGAGAGTTCCTCTGCGTTTCGCTATGAAGGTGTGTGTTAGAAGAATGACCTCGAAAGCTCCCATACGGGATAATAATGCTATAGAGGGGCAGGGAGATAGTCGTACCTTGACAGCACAAAGAACAGCATGGGTCTTACTGGCGATACCGACAACGACTGAACCTTGCTTCACTGCCTCAGCAGCATATTCAATTTGGAATATTCGGCCCTGGGGCGAGCTTGGAGAAAGTCAGCTTGCTCGAGGTGCTACGATAGAGCTAACAGCTTAGGTGACGTACAAGGTAACGGAATCGTTATCGTAGTTGTTTCTGAACATGATGAATTATTAGCTGCTCTGGCAGCGCCGCGTAGAATGTGATCGGTGAGGTTGTGCAAAGCGAATCTCGTTGTGCGTGAGTGGGTTGCGATGGAGAGCTTCGTTGGAGGTGGATTTTGGGCGTTGGTTGTTAGTATAGGTCGGGATGGAGTTGAGGTGGTTGAGCACCAGGCAGCTCAAGCTTCGTAGCCTGGGGCTGGTTGCGCTGGGACCTGCAGCCTTCCATTCTGCCGCGGATGACCCGCCACACCGCCTGCCAAATCGGACAGCTCCATGATGACATTGTGTCTTCGAAGCTCCTTGTTTATCCCAATTTGATAAAGCAAAAAGTCCAAGGGGAAGACCGAGTGATCTACAAATTATGTTCTTCGTAATGCGCCTCCGATAATTGATTTTTTCTCGTCCCACAAACAAGGGATCATTAATAAGCATCGCCTCTGCCGAACTGTCTGTCTCTACGAGAAAGAAGTCAAGTTGAATTACGCGATCACCGAGTGGTGATAGGCGCCATACACCCTCAACCACTTGGCTGCCCTCTCATGTATCCCGAATTTGCGTTTTCTGAAAACTGACAATTCCTTACTGTCGATATTCTGTGATCGTCATTCTGGATCCAGCCCGGTTTCTTGACAAGAAAGTCATGTGGCAAGTTCAACCCCTTCCTTATTTTCCGGCGGGCGGAGAAGGCTTGTTGCTAAGTCTTAGGTTCCTTGACGAACGCTGCGGATTGTCCCTGTAAGGTTGTGTGCTTGTCTTATTCTGGACGTGACCTGGTGAAAGCATGATAAGACTGCGCCCGACCTGCTGTTGAGGGAGCGAGCGACGGAGTGTAACTGACCTGACCGTTGCGAAAGGATCACAATTCTAGAAGAATACAACATGACGAAAAGTTCTCCGGTGCTACGACATTTCAACCAGAAAAACACACTGTCATGGTAACAGCTGCCGGGAGAAGTTGTTGCTCCAATCTGGCTGGCTGAGAAAGATACATCGGCTTTACAAGCCAATTATTGTTGTTTGGGAGCCCTCATTGATGATAAATATCGATGGTGAGCTCAACCAGAACCGTTGAAGTATATTGGCGGCTGAGGCTGAAAGTACGGAAACATATATTTTCCCCTACTGCATGCAAGCTCTCTTGCGGACAATGACCTGCTGTAATACATGTTGTCTACTGGTTCGCTACCTTGATTGCATCAATTTTGTCTTCAGGAGCCTCTGTCATAGAAATATATGTTTCAAAAACTTTAATATACTAGTGCAAATATATGTAACTCATTGAAAGTCCAAAAGTTACTACTCATCTTCGACAAAACTGTGTTAGACTTATCAGGCATGTCTAGCAAAGTTTTTTCTATGGAAATATATATCAGAACACAATAGCAATTGGTACAGCTCTTAAGATTCCGAACCATACTGGGCTTCATTGCTTGATGGACGTTCTAATACCTGCTGTGCCAGTCTAGTAAAGCCCCAATTGGTGCGGAGCCACCAGATTCATGGCCATGTTAGTCTCAACGATTAACGATTGCAGTTCACAGCCATCACGGTTCACCAATCTGTTGAATTCTCGAGGATTTGACAAGATCTGTCATTCTTGACTGCTATACACATACCCCTCATTTCTTCAAATTTGCTCGTGTCATACCAGACTCACGTTCCCAGAGTCATACGTTGAATATCGGATCCCTCTTGTGGACATTTCTATTGGATGACTCACTGTGACTTACAGTAAATATCCGCGACTTTTAGACAAGCCCAATTTTTATTCTCTCGCATATTCATACTCTCATCTCTCAACACAACGCCATCATGCCTTCCAGATCTGAGATCACATATTTCGGCGCAGACCCTGCTTTGCTACCCATAGACGTCCTTGAGAAGGCTGCCCACAGACGTTCTTGACTATGAGCATACCGGATTGGGTACAGCCAGAATTTCATAATTCATCATGAACGTCACTAATCAAATATCAAGGTATTGCTGAGCACAGCCATCGTTCAGAGCTGGCTACAAGCATCATCAATGAGGCTAAGGCTGATCTTGCCTCTTACATTGACATTCCCGAGGACTATGAGGTTCTTTTCATGCAGGGTGGTGGAAGTGGAGAGTTCTCCGCTACCATGTACAACCTTGTTGGTGCATGGGTGACAAAGAAGAAGGCCCAGATTGTTGCCAACCTCAAGGCTCCTGAGGACGACCCTCGCGTAGAGCAGGAGCTCAGGAATGCAGTTAAGAAGGAGCTCAAGACAGATTACATTATCGCTGGTGGCTGGTCTCGGGAGGCTTCTGAAGAGGCCAAGCGACTGCTTGGTCCTGAGCATGTAAACATCATCGCTGACTCCCGCCAAATTAACGACAGAAAGTATGGCAAGATTCCTGAGGAGAGCACCTGGAAACTCTCCAAAGATGCTGCTTTGGTCTACTACTGTGACAATGAGACCGTCGGGTGTCAAGTTTCCCGCTTTCCCTCAGTCCCTGACCCCTGGACTTGACGGCGAGGGCCCTATTGTTGTGGCCGATATGTCTTCCAACATCCTGTAAAGGAGAATTCCTGTCCGAAATATCTCAGTCATTTTCTTCGGCACTTAGAAGAACCTTGGCTATACTGGTATTACCGTTATGATTATTAAGAGTCTTCTTCCTCCTAAGACACCTTAGCCTCCTCCTGCATTTCTTCGATAACTTGGCCTTCCTATACCTCCTATCATCTTTTCTTACGAGACTATCGCCAAGAACAACAGTCTCTACAACACCCTCAGCATCTTTGAGTAGGTACTTCTACAGGACAAGTGTGATACATATACTGATCAGACTTAGTGTCTGTATTGCTGGCCAAGTTCTCAAGAAGTCACTCAGCACTTATAACAAGGTCGAGGGACAGGAGGCCGTGTCCGCCAAGAATGCCGAGCTCATCTATGGTGCTCTTGAGGCCCACCCCGATGTGTATAGAATTGTCCCTGATAAGTCTGTTCGCTCAAGGATAAACATCTGCTTCCGCGTCACCAAGAATGGCGACACTGATGGCACTGAGAAGGCTTTCCGTAAGGAGGCCACTGCCCAGGGTCTCACCGGCCTCAAGGGTCACCGAAGCGTGGGTGGTATTCGTGCCAGCAGCTACAACTCCATTCCCTTAGAGGGCGCTGAAAAGCTTGCCAAGTTCATTGAGACATTTGCTACCTCTTGAAAATTCAATCATAAAAGTGTTAGCTGGATGGTTTGAGGATTTATGGAATGGATGAGAGGTGTGCACGACACCAGGGATAAAAGTCAACCTAGATGGATGTTGAATTCAACATGCTCCATGAGGATAAAGAATAAGAAGCAAATAAATGAGCAGTAAAAGGAGCTATGGTTAATCAACTTGTACTCGTGATGATTCTCTATGACAAACATGACGGTGATGGATGAGTTTCAGTGGATTAGTGCACTATCAGTTCGATATGATCAGTGGGCCGTGGGCGCTAAAACAATCAACCTCAGGTTTCTCTCCTGTTCGTTTCCAACCAGGAAAAACTTAGCCAATACTCATTTGTTTCTCCCAACTACAGCCTCCGTCGCCCTTGTTCTAAGAACACCAGAGTAAACGATAATCAGAACGAGTTTGGGCATCTCACTATCACTCATTTCGCCGATGCTGAGGCGCAGTCTCCGCCTGAGGAGACTCAACTGCAAAGCGAGTCCCTCTCGAGTCTTTTCATCACCATTCTATATAAGCAATTGCAACAACCAAGTTTTAACACACCCTTTGCGATATTCTATTGCATCGTCATCAAAGCCATTCTCACATCAGTCGTGGCATACTCAAGACTCCGAAGTTGTATCGGGACTACCAATTGTAGACGACACCATCTATGCTCTATCAACGGCGCAGGGTCGAGCTGGTATTGCGGTAATCCGCATTTCTGGCCCATCATGTCTTGAAGTAAGTGTCATACAGATTACTACATATACATTGCCTAATTTTGGGTTGAAGATTTATGAAGCACTTTGTCCATCAAAACCATTGCCAAAACCAAGATATGCAACAGTACGGTCTCTATACGACCCACAGCATGCCAATAATGAGCAGATAGTGCTGGACTCAGAAGCTCTTGTTCTTTACTTTCCTAACCCAAAGACTGTGACTGGTGACGATGTCTTGGAGTTGCATGTTCATGGAGGATCAGCCACCGTAAAAGCTGTGTTAGCAGCCATTCCGAAATGTTCCGCTACACATCGTATTCGATACGCAGAGCCTGGCGAGTTTACGAAGCGTGCCTTTTTCAACGACCGCCTTGATCTTGCTCAGATTGAATCCCTGAGTGACACCCTGGCAGCTGAAACGGAACAGCAACGTCGTGCAGCTGTGCGAGGTAATTCAGGTGTTCTTGGACGACAATACGAGACATGGAGAGAGCAGCTCTTGTTGGCTCGTGGTGAGATCGAGGCATTGATTGATTTTTCCGAAGATCAGCACTTTGACGAGTCCCAGGCTGAATTGTTACAGAATGTGACTGCACAAATTGCTAGGATGCTACACAGCATTGAGCTGCATGAGCAGGGAAGTCAAAGGAGCGAGCTTTTGAGGAATGGAATTCGTATAGCGCTGCTAGGGCCACCCAATGTTGGTAAGAGCTCGCTTATGAACCTGATCGTTGGGCGCGAGGCATCCATTGTGTCCGGTGAAGCAGGCACAACGCGAGATATCGTCGAGGCAAGCTTGGATATTCGCGGCTATTTATGTTCATTTGCAGATACGGCAGGATTCCGATCCAAGGGCTCCAAGGTGATCAACGGGGCTGATAATGGCGCAATTGGGGCCGTGGAAGAAGAAGGAATACGGCGAGCAAAGCAACGAGCTCTGGACTCTGATCTCGTTATTGTCCTAGCATCCGTGGAAGAGGGCCAGGACGGGCCATTTCTGCAATATGATCAAGAAACGCTCGATCTCGCTGCGGGGGCAGAGGACTGTGTTATTGTTGTCAATAAACAAGATGCAGTTGGTAAAGAGGAATTTGAGAAGCTGATTCAAGATTTCAGAGAAACTATTCAAAGTCAAGCCCCCAAGCTAGCGGCGGCAGAGCTTGTGTCCGTATCGTGCAAGGAGGCTCAGGCAGGGACATGGGAAAGCAAGGATCCTGGCGGTATTCAGACTGTGATCACCAAGCTCGTGGCATCCTTTGAGAAGATGACATCCATGCCGGTCGATCTTCAGGATCTACTAGGCGTTACAGAGCGTCAGCGTCAGCTCCTTATCAAGTGTCGTCGACACTTGGAGGACTTCATGATGGAGGCTGCTCCTGAAGAGGGCTTGGATGCGGATGCTGATGCAGTCCTCGCAGCCGAGTATTTGCGGTATGCTGCGAACTGCCTTGCACGCATCACAGGGCGGGGTGAGTTTGGAGATGTTGAGGATGTACTGGGTGTTGTCTTTGAGAAGTAAGTTCTGACAAAGTTATGTATGGGATGTCTGACAAGATGCTGACTTGAGACGTGTTAGATTCTGTGTGGGTAAATAAGCGCGTGGCAAAGAAGATTATGGCGATGAGAGATTGATATGAGAGTTGAAATATATTTCTTCCGTCGAGGAATATTCTATAGAGGATATTGCTGGTCTAAACAAATTGGGAGACTCAAAGTTGGGCCACCTGGGCCTGGTCTAGCAAGTTATGAAAAAAAGAAAACGGAAATAGATTGGAGATGAGATGATAATAAAAATAAAAGGAAATATACCATGCTGTATGCTCGCTTCTATGCCGTGCCATGCCAACGCTGTGTGATGCTATGTTTCCGTCTTTTCCAACTCCCGCTATGCGATGCTGTGTCTACAACTTGTTCCTCCGAATACCAATGCTGATGATGAGAACAAAACAAAACTCCGTTCCATGCAGATGTTGTTGAAACTAGTGTCTAAATAGAAAACTCCGTTCCATGCTTGCGCTGTCGCTGTGTATGATTTTGGGAAGTGACTGAAGAGTAACAAAGAAGTTTACTCCTCGTCGTTGTCGCTGGGGCCATTGTAGCCAGAGCGACCCTTGTTTCCCTTGGAAGAATCATCGTCTTCAGGGCCGTTGTAGCCAGAGCGACCAGAGTCTCCCTCCTCAGGCTCGTTGTAGCCAGATCGGCCACGGTTGTTTGTGGGCTTGGAGTCAGAGTCGTCGCCGTCCTTGTTGTAGCCAGATCGGCCGAAGGATCGGGTGGTGGGAGCAAATGCGAGAGTGAAAGCAGCCATTGTAAATGTTTGAGAGTTGGGTTGAGTTAAGTATGAGTTTTTTTTTATTGATGATGGAAGTTGTGTTGAGTTAAGAGAGTTGAGTTGTTATATATAAGTGTTGAGTTGGAGTGTAGTTGTAGAGTGTAGATGAAACTGGTTGTTGACGGTGATGAGAATTCAATTTCAGAGCAGGAGAATATGGACAGTTATATAGAACTTGACTCAACTATAGAGCGAAGCCAAGGGTAGCTAAGCACATCGCAGATAGGGATTCTCGGTAGACGGTGGAAGCGGCTGACTCTGACTGACGCCTGTTCGTTCTTTCGTGTTGTCGTATCATGACGATCAAGCACACCCTTTAGCATGGGGGCAGCAAAATAGAAACACACTACATAGCGTATCGTGCTGGGTTTGGCTAGGCTAGGTAGATTACAGCAGTGCCCGTTGTTCCGCCCATGCCATGGAACCTTCTTTCGCTTCCGTCAGTCTGCGCCATGTCGCCGAGCTGACAGGGGATCCATCTAAGCCGTGAGTGGTGGAGGACACCATCGTAGGGCTGAGGACAATGGTTTATGGAGGACCGGACCTTGCAGTTACAGGGGTCTTTGTCAAACGGTGTAAGTTAATAAGTAGCCACGCCCACGGTACCCGGGGTAGGGGGTCGGGTCGGGGTGCGGAAGACCCGGGCCGCATCCAGTCAAGTCGCTGCGTATTGTATTACTGAGTGAGTCTTTTGAGTGTTGATGGGCTTACGGGGCTTGGACAGGGTATACGTTATAATAAGCCACAGCCTCAAATGAACACCCCTGTCCATGTAATCAATCATCCTCCACGGCTCTGGCCATGGACTTGAAGCAGATGCAGAATAGATGCATCATGGTGGTTTTTGACCCCCAATGCAATTGTTCAAGATAACATATCATGAGTTTGAAGAGTTGGTGTGGAGACGGAGCTTAGATACGTAAATACGCACCTCTTAACATAGTGCATAGTATTCGTATTATGATCCCGTCCATACTATTCCACACTCTTGGTACTGTATAGCTGTCAAGACGATTGCGGATTTGCAACGCAGAAACGTCATCAAGGCTGACAAATGAGGCCGTGTGATTCCAATTCCATGAAAACTCCGACTAGGTTCGGAGTCAATCATGGAGTTTAGAGAAAGACACAGCACAGTACGGTACGAACAGAGTAGACAGAGATTCCAATTAATCCTGGTTGAAACTCCTTGAATGTGTCAACGTGTGCTTGACTGCATGCGCGTCCCATATCGCAATAGGAGCAAAGAAGAAGCTTCCAATGTGCAATTTCTCGTCACATGGACACTCTTGATAAGTTTAAAAGGTTGCCTAAAAGACAAGACATTTACATGAGGCATCACGATAGCGAATAAGTCAGCAAATTGCACCATTTATTCTGTCATCCCGCTTTGTCATCCCGCAAATGGCGGATGCAGCCACAGAAGCCATGACGCGACTTCCCCATTGGCGTGCATCGGTCAAGCCCGTGTTTCCGCCTACCGAAGGAACAAACTGCCCCAGATTCCAGGGACCTTTTCCCTAATCATCATCACCGAAGAGTCATCTTTTGCATATTCCGCCTTTCTTACTAAACATGAACTCTTTCTCTTATCATGACTCATCCTGTACCGACAATTGATTATTGAAACCAACAAAAGAACCTTGTCAGGTTCCCGAATATTGCAGTTACTCAATCGGTCTCGTGGGGGCAGAAGAATGAAACGTCACGTTCAAATCGAGACAACCTCAACTTACACCACGCGCACTCTATCACCCACACTCACGCCCATGAGGTAATCATCGAACAGCCCCTTCTGACCTTACTATCACCCGTACACTAGTCTATTGGGTGACCGGGACTCCTTCACTCCGGACGGCACGGCATCTGGTCTTACCCGTCAGTCAGGTTCAGGTTCAGTCCCTTTCGCCGGCCAACGCGGGCCCTCCCAATCCCTTGGGACCTAATTTCTGAGCATCTAACTCCCCTCGATAGTTAGACTCGACTGGGGTTCTCGATTCTCACTGAGATCTCTGGTACCGCTCCTTATTGGCCAGACCCCAAACAGCCATGTTAAGCGCCTACTGTGAATGACCAACGAGCTGAAAGGTCGAACCATTGACGCATTTGCTCCCAAGAATCGCCAATGCTACGCTTGTTCTATCAATGGAAACATTTCGCGATCCAAAATCACATTTCAATCACATCATGATGTCCGTCGAGTCTCGAATTCTTACAAACAGCCGCAATGATACACCAACCTCACCCTGCCACACGCATATCCCCTTGTCGAATTTAAGCGCCTTAAAAATAGAAACAACATCATTATTGGTCAATTGGCGCGCTGTTGCTTCATCTGACTGTTTTCGCTACGGTAGCTCGATGCATAGCCCCGGACAGGCTCCAATTGATCCAATCGCCAGGCTTAGACGCTACACTCACCACCACGAGGCATTATCCAAGAAATCAGCCTTGCAACCTAGACCGGGCTCTTCTATTACTGTTTCTACCTAAGACCTAAGACATGAACCATGTTTCTGCCGTCTCGGCTACCTCTGAGACATTACGGATATAGCTTTCCAGATCTTAGTGCCTGCTGTTTTGTTTCCTGCTTACCCCCTGAGCCATGTCTCGGGAAGGATTGCAACGCCTGTTATGGTGTATCGGAGGGTTCCCTTGGGCGTGGAAGCTTGAGTTCCACCAATACATGTTGCAGCCTGTTCACGTTGAAGCTATACACAATCTTTAACCTCATGCACTCAAGCAATTCTGGGCATTGCTAAGAATGGTTGCATCTACGGATCTGCGGCTTGTGTCTCGGCAGCTACTCTCGTCCCGGAAGCAAGCCGGTAGACTATGACTGGCGACCGATGCAAGTATCGTGACATTGCTAGAAACCCGCTGACGTTGATGTTGACTAAAAACAAGCACACTTTATTTTTCAACTTCATCGACAGCCTTCGGCCGTTTGAATAAGTTCCGCCGACGCCACTAAGACGTTGACAGCCTGTCGATCCGTATGGCACACAGACCAGTCACCGATCTGCAGCCATTGAGCCATCACCAGGCACCAGGCATCAAATCACAGCCATCCGTCGCACAGAGGCACCAAAACAGAGTTTGGAGGCTCTGTCCCTAACTTACCCAATATGGCAAAATGTTTCGATCCCTGTTCCCAGCCTCATAGCCCCCAAGCTTCACAAAGCCTACATGGCTTGAGGATGCGGTACGAGCCGTGGGATTTTTTTTACGATGCATAAGGTCGTGACTAGCCATTGACCAATAACCGGTATGTTTCAATTGGCATATCTGGATACACATAACACCTTTTCGAGGCAGCCCTACATTGCCTTGTTACATCTCTCACATTCACAGCTCGTCCTTGGCATGAGCCTCCTGACTGGGATCTTCCATAGCCATGATCTTGACAACAAGACTGGTCCATCCAGTGAAGTGCTGTGTTCGCTGCCCGGCACCCGTGTTGGGGTTGTACTGCTCCCAGGCGAAGCCTGTTTCTTCCCAACTCTTGTACACGGTGTCAACAAGGTTCTTACGAAGACGCGAGAATAGATCCTTCGCTTTTCCCCTGTAGGGGCCTTCCTGCGAAGCAACGTTCTATATGCACATGTTAGTCTTTGTACTACTTCGCCAAGGGGACTTCTGAGGGGAATCCTACGTGTAGTTGAGACAAAGCCAGGTAGTTGATGGGCATCCACACCGGGCTGCGCCAGTAGTTCTCGCCCGTGGCGTAGAATTCATCCTTCTTACTCAAACTGCGAATGCCGTGGGGGCTCCAGAGGTGCTCCTCGTCGCTGATAAGATCAAGAATCTTGCCCAGCTTGGGGTCGTCAGCCTTCATCAGGCCGACCAGGAATGGGAACAGGGAAATGTAGCCCTTGTGGCATACGAGCGCGTGTTCCTCGTAATCGTCGATCGTTGCGTCGCAATAGCAACCCTCCTCATCGGACCAGTGGAGATCATTGAGGTTGTGCTCAATGCCGTCCAAGTTCTTCCTATACTCATTCACATCTTCGGCCATGCCGAGGGCGTCTGCGATGTTCATCAACGACTTTGTCATCAGACCAACCCAGGACATGAGATCGACGTGTAGCTCGCCCGGCGAAGGGGGCTGGGGTCGAGGATAGTCGTCCAGGCCACTGGTGAGGATGTGAGTCTCGGTACGGCCCCTCCATCGGTATGCCTCCTTGGTTGAGTACGCCTCACGGTCGTAGTTTTTGATGTCACCTCGCTGAGTTTTGCGGAACCAGTCATATTGTTGTCTCAATAGGGGGTACAACTTTCGAAGATAGCTCTCGCCGAGCTCAATATTGTCGAGGTGAGCGGTTTGCAAAGGGTCGGCTCCCAGAATGCGTTCCTTCGCCTCGCTCTTGGTTCCGTTGGATGCGCGGAGGCGCTCCATGAAGCCCTCGATGATAAGGAACAGAGTAGGGGGGTTGGCATAGTGTGGAAATTGCACCTGGAACTCAGGGGGGACCTTACTCCGGGCCTCATGACCAAGAATCTGTTCTCGTGCGATCCAGCCATCTTCGTCCATAGTGTTGTACCAGCTCTTGACAATTTCAAGTGTGAGGTCAATATCCCAGTCGGCAATGGGAATAAGGTGAAATCCCTCATCCCACAGGAAGCCGCGGGGGAAGAAAGGGCGAGAAGGAACACTGGTGAAAAGCTCATAGGGGCCCTCGAGTTCTGGCTGTGTGCGAGCCTTGGCTTGCGTGGCCTCCTCCCAGAACCCGTCGTTCTCCTCCTCATACTCAGGTGCATACGATCTGTCAATCAGCTGGTGACCGTGGAAGTAACCTATGCCGCCAATAAGGTTAGACAGCATGCTCTTGCCGAATTTCTTGTACTTCTCCCGTGTGAAAGGTTCCTTGAGCTTGAAGGTGTTGGTGAAGCGCTCGTTGAAGATCTCTGAAGTCTTTTCGATCTGTTCAGTGACCTCCTCAGAAGTGAATTCCTTGCCTCCAGATTCCGATGAAAAGATGACATCGAACTCAAACGGTCCTTCGAAGGTCTTCTCGACTATATGAACGTTGCCTTTTCCAGGTGCATGGGCAATACGGTACACCTGCCACGGTGGAGGAGGATCCGCCTGGTCAGCATTTTGCTGCACGGGCGAAACGGCATCTTGAAGTTGCTTGAAAACAACGGGCTTGCCCTGCCAGGTAAGGTCGGCTGGGACGTCAGTACTCGAGACAATGGTTGTGTCGCCATGTCGATCTTCCAGAAACTTGTGATCTGTTGAAGGGTGTTCTCCGGTACCCTTTGTAATGAGAAGCTTGTAGTCTCCCAGCGCTTTTGAACTGCCCTTAAGAGTAACATCGCCTTTGAAACCGTACTTGGTACCCTCACCTTCAACAGCAAGTTCGCCATCACCATCCTGGGCGATGTAGTAGAATAGCATGGTTCTGGTGTTTTTGGGCGCACCTTCTCGCAGCTCTCCCTTGATTCGGGCAGCCCAGCTGCCACCATGATTTCCACCGGGGATCTTCACAAAAGTAGTCGTCAAGTCGATGTTGTTGCCCTTGTCGTGAATTGACTGCACACCGCCTATGCGGGCATCATACTCATCCCACCCGTAGCCATGCATATCCTCTCCCTGCTCGCAGGTATATCTGAAACCTAGAAGGCAAATGTTAGAGCACTTATAAGACGAAGCTCGTTATTTCACTTACCATTCTGGATATCATGGTAATTGTCAACTTTCCCCCACATGAGCCCTGTCCATAGACCATCTGGTGTTCGTGGCCGCACGCCAAAGTACAAGTTGGACTTGTAGGGGCCCCAAAAGAGGCTCTGGTTGTTTTGACGGCCGATTTCTGTCGTCAGCACAGAAGATGCATCGTCTGCGGCTGAGACGCCCAGAGCGAGTGCCGCCGCCGACACCCAATGGGCAATTTTCACCATAATTACGATGAAAAGGGGTTCTCACAAGCTTCGAGGTGAGGAAGTGAAATATAGGATCTTTTTGGTTGAATTCTAGAGAATCCAATTCCTCATTGGGTGAGTTTGTGTTTGATCAAGCTCCAGAGAACACGTAGGAGTAGCAAATTGATATGACGACGCAAGGCTGAGAACTGGAGACGATCCGGGGTCCAGGGGAGCTCTGGCCAATGATGCAGTTTCACCAGCCACCGCCACTTGAAGCATGCTCCCCACTTAAAAGTTATCTTGTTTCAGCCTTCCTCTTTCTAGAACTTGTTGGATGCATTTTTCGAACATTCTTCAACTAGCATACTCTCAATATCTCAAGATTATCAGCAAATTCCCAGAATCCGAATCAAAAGTCTACAGCACACACAATGGGGGACTCTAGACGAAATAGACGACCCGATAGTCGTCAAATGTGGGACGAATCCGACAGACGCGATAGGCGCGGAGGACATAATAGGGACAACGACCGCGATCGCGGAGGCTACAGGTCAAGATCACGCGAGCGCCGTGGATATAGAGATCGATCAAGGTCGCCGGACAGGAGAAACAGAGACCGAGATGGTGATAGGAACCGACCTAGGGATAGAGGCCCGCGCCATCATGATGGTCGAGACAGGAGGGATAGACGAAGAGAGGACGCAGAGGATGCGCCACCAAGAAAGAGACGAGATGAGCGTCGTGATGATGATAGAGACAAGCGAAGTATGCACCTGCACCCATTTCAACGTTATAAACATCTAACTTCCCATGCAGGCAAATCTCGTCGCTCAGCCTCACCACAATCGTGCAGTCCTACTCACGAAGCACTTCCCACGCGTCCTCGCCCCGATGCAAAGCGCCCGGCACCCAATATGTCCTTCAACGTCAGCTCTCGTGCAAGTCGCTCACCACCACCGCCCTCACGCGCCCAGCATGAAAAGCAAAGCAACCACTCAGAAGACGGCCAGGCTTCAGAAGTTGAAGAAGATCCTATGGACGCAGAAGACGATGATATGGCCGCTATGCAAGCTATGATGGGCTTCGGTGGTTTCGGAACGACCAAGAACAAGAAAGTTTCAGGGAACAATGCTGGCGGCGTGCACAAGGAAAAGAAGACGGAGTATCGTCAGTACATGAACCGAAACGGTGGATTCAATAGGCCATTGAGTCCATCACGCTGAGGATGACGGTCAGATGGTGTTGGTACAGTACGAGTCATGATCTCCGTGAGGACAGTTGGCATTTTTAAGGTTATGCCTCAAAGGTAAACTGAACTGGCGTACAAGAGAGATAGGTTTTCCTGCTCAACGAACGCAGAGGTATAATAATTGTGTGGAACATCAAAGTTTACGATATTCTGCATGTGTAATACAGTCTCAGCCTTACTCTTTCGTTGTTCTATCACATTTCTCCCTATCACAATACACCTTCTCTTATCAACTTCGACTATCCCAAGACTATCTTAATGTTATCCTATTTCTTCAACTTGCACGACGAAATACTCTATTTCACGAGCCAGCACAAACTTCAGCGGAATATATGCACGGATCTCGCCATGGTCTTCCTTTGGTCACCCAGCATCTTCTGCTCTTTTGAGGGTGTCGCACTCAGTATAACAGCCATCCACATAGTCCTCACCACTTTGTGGAACTGGATATGTCGACCTGCTACCCCTACACCAGAAGAGCTTATACGATCAAGACGCGAAAACCATGCCAGTCGATCGCCCGTGAACGGAGCCGTTGGAGTTGCTTCCCGGCCCGCCGCTGACAAGCACCCTTACCGTGAGCCTTGTCGCAAGTGGTGGTGGTATCTTTTGGCGTCATGATGGGAGGAGGGAATCTTGGATCGAAGAGACTTGGGGACAGTTGAACGGTGGACAACGCTGTCGAGGAGGTATTGAGTTACAAGGACAAGGATGAAGAGGTCACAAGGGCCTGCATGCGATCCGTCTGAACAGCATGGACAACCTGCACGCTCTTTGTGTCATATCAGACGGACAAGAGCTTGCTCAAAGGCAGTGCTTGTGTTGAAATACGCTAGGTGAAGCCACCCCTAGCTGAGTCGATGGAATCAAAGTTCTGACTGTCACTTGCGGCCAGTACTGCAATTATCAAGATCACCATGACACACAAATTTGTTCAAGTATTCTCTCTTCCACTGTATGTGTTGGTGTAGACATTACGTATAGCGCGTGCAATACATGCAAACGCAATCTTTCCACTCCTAAACAGTTCCCAACACCATTGGTATGCATCTCGAATCACAAACACCGCCCATCCATCTCATCCTCATGCCTGTGCCTGTGCCTGTGCCATGCCATGCCTATGCCTTTTCCCCTTGCTCTTCTTCTGGGGCACCGTCGCTGGTAGTCGCTGCTCTAGGTGTTGGAACATCATCTTCTATAAGCGCTTCCTCTTCCTTTGGCGGCTCTTTGGCTGCCTCTCCTTCTTCTACCTTTGGCTCTTCCTTTGGTTCTTCCTTTTGTTCGTCGGGGTTCTCTTCTGACTGATTGGTAGTCGCCCTTTCTCTTCGCCGTCTTCGTAACCTTCTTTCTTCCTCTGCTGTTTGCCGTCGGGCTTTTCGAAGGGTTTCTCTCCTCTCAGGGTCGTTATCATCTGCGCCGTCACCACCACGCATGCCTTGTAGAAGAGCTGCTGCTCTATCGGCAACATCATCTTCACCTTCACGAGGTGATGAGAGGCCGGGGCTGAGCACTTTGCTATCGTCGTCGACGGGTTCCTCCTTGTTCTTGAGGCCAGCTTCCACTTCTGGGATTTCGTCGAGGTCGGGAATCTTTTGTCCTGACGCGACGCGGACCTGATGACGATCCTTGAGTCGCGCTCGTCTTCTTCGGTCTCTCTGGTCCCGAGCTTGCGGCGCAGCTGCACGTAGCTTCTCCAGGAGGGAGTCCATGGCGCCGGTATTGGATGGAGACGTCGGTCCTGCCTCGGCGTTGGCGTTGGTGAGTTTGAGTTGAGCTGTATGCTTCCGTTTCATTGACGCCTCGTTACGCTTCCTTGTCTCTTCCACCTGCACGTTCTTCTCGCGAGACTTCTTCCACTCTCCCACGAACAATGCCAACTTGGCAAAGAAATCTCGGCGGGCACCATCATCTGCGGGGTCCTCGCCGTAGAATACCATGATATCCTTGTACGTCTTCATCATCTCTTCCAAGTACAGCTCCATCTGTTCGGATTTTCTTCTGGCCTCCTTCATAATGCGTTGGACGATTTGACTCACTCGGTCCTGAGGATGGAACTGCTTGGGGTCACTCAAGTTACCAGAATCCAAGGACATTTGAATGTTTCGAATATTGTCGATGTATTTCTTCGCATCCGCCTGAAGCTGCTCGATGTTGATCTTCTGTGCCGTCATGACTCCGTTGATATCATCCGCAAAGGTCTCCCACTCAGGGTATTGGTTTCGTACAATACGCTCCACAAGATCGGCCAATGTTGACTCGTTCTTGTCATCCTTGACCATACCCAATCTCGCAAGGGAGCTAAGCTTAAAACCCCGTGCTTGCTTGTTCGCATCGTTCATGTAATTACCAATATCCAAAATAAGGCCAAGAACATTCATCAATGACACGGAATCGCGTAGCGACTCAGACACCGTAACAACCTGTCGGATCTTCTCGTTAATCTCTTCGTACTCTTGCTCAAAGCTTCTAGTGAGAGCAAGGGCCCTCATTCGACTCTTCCAGTAGTGGTGTAACTCAAAGGCCGTGTAGAGGTAAAGCTGATCTTGTCGAGTAAGCTCCGAAGGATCAAGCTCACGGTCTTGGGACTTGGCATCAGGTCCAGTCCAGTCCTTGCTGTACGGTGCCATTTGCTTCACTGTGTTGTCAGGAATATTGCATAGGTCGTCCTTCTGCAAAAAGTCCATCACGACAGTGTTGTCTAGAATTTCAGGATCGCAGTGGATGATCATTTGAACAATCTTTTCGACAGAGTACTGTGAAAATTTGGCAAAAGCAATTTCTGTATAGTATTAGCAAGCAAAGCAAGTGTGCACAAAAGGGTATGCACTTACCATAGGCCTTGCGGAGATCAGAAGAAATGATTTGCTTCTTGTCATCCTTCTTAGAAGAGCTTCCTATACCAATCTTCTTGATCTCCTTGGCCATGAACAGTTTCTCAACCTCGTCGAGAATACCCTTCTTGCTGAGTTCCTGATACTTCTCCTCTCGGGCTTCAGCAGAGGGTGTATGGGCTGCCCAATGACTGGTCTCGGGGGCATCGACCTTCTCCCAATGTAGGGCCTTGAGCTTCTTCTTGGGACGAACAACGGGCAGGCCAATGCCTGGTGCAGCCCCAAAAGCGGGTTGCCGCGACAAGTAGTGTCCAGACATAGCACCAGGCAAAGGAGGAGGTGGTGGAGGGGGCATACCTCCAGCACCAGGTAGCGGAGGCGGCGGTGGAGGAGGAGGAGGCCCACCACCTGGTGTAAGCATGCCAGGCAAGGGGGGCGGAGGCGGGGGGGCACCGGGAATCTGGCCCGGCATGGGGGGAGGCGGAGGCGGAGGAGGCGGCGGTGGAGCTCCGGGTATTTGACCAGGCATCGGAGGAGGTGGAGGCGGCGGTGGAGGTGGAGGGCCAGCACCAGTGACTTCGATTTTGGGAGTTTCACTGTCACCTGGAGGAGTGATGGGTGACGAAGTCTCCATACTAGGGTGAGAAGGACCGGTGGTATCGTCTTCGGAATCGCTGGCATCGAACTTCTTGACCTTGGAACCAATCTCACCAAGCAAACCAGCTTGCTGCTTCGGGTCTATGGTAGGTCGCTTCATCTCGACGATTCTGGGCTTCTCGAAGATGACACCATCCTCGCCCTCAGTCTCGTCGTCCTCATCGATCACCTCACCATCAGAGCGTCTCTTAAGGGGCTTGCGTGGAATCTTGGTATTGCGGTGGATGCTTCCCAGAACGCTGTTGGTGAAGTCCCGAGGAGGCGTACCGCCACCAGGGGGTGTTCCAGGTCTGTCGTCCATCTCTTCGCGTAGGGCTCGAAGACGGTCTGAAGGTCCAACAGCATCTCCCCAAACACGTCCCTCAAGCTTGTATTGTGTCTTCTGCCTCTCGATCTGCATCTGTAACCGCTCCATTAGGCGTTCCCGATCCAGGATACCTTGCATACGAGCAGGGTCTTCAGGGCCAGCTGTCTTGCTGCTGGCGCTGGCGCTGGCAGCCGCGCTTTTGATAGCCTTAGAAGCAGCCACGTCCTGTGCGTCTCGAAGCATCAGGTATAGCTCTCTTGTTTCTAACTCGTATCGCTGGGCTTCCTTGGCTCTCATAGTTTGCATACTATCCAATTCAGCTTTGAGTCCATCTGCCTGTCTCCTTTGAGCATCGATGAATCGAGATTGTTCGTCCAATTGCTTTTGTAACTTGGCAACCAGTCCATCAGCACCTAGCTCAAGCTGAGCCTTCATCTCATCACGCTCAGCCATCGCGGCCTCGGCGATTTGTCGTGACTCAAGAGCCTCATCCTGGGCTTGCCTGGCTTCTGAATCTGTATGTAATTTGTCAAGGAGACTTTGAACCGTGAAGTTGAGACTCTGCTTGAGATCCATGTTCGGCAGTCGCCGATCCATAGCAACGTAGCTAAGCATGGAATCGACTAACTGAAACATGCGTAGCCGCTCCTCGCCATCATTTGCTCGGATGAGCATAAGATGCTGTAGAGCCGAAATGAAGTAATCGTTGGTCTTGGTGCCATGAAGACGCTGTTGAATAGCATCTGCAATTTGAACGGGATCAGTCAAATCCTTGACTTCGCCTTCGACATCGTCCTTGATGCTGCTATTCTCCCTCTCAAGCATATCCTCATAGTCAATGGCTTCGTTTGTTCTAAACCGTTCAATCTGTTTGTCCAAGAGCTCGTATTGGAACTCCTCCATCTTCGTCAAGATTCGCTTGATACCACATGCCGTAAACTGAGCTCGAATGTGTATCCTTAACTCCAGATCTCTCTCGGGCGAATCGATAATCATGTTGACGAGCATGAGGGTTGCAACGGCGTATTCCATAAGCAAGTTCTCCATACCAATACCTCCGGTCCTCAATTCTTCGCTGGCGCCAACCAAACTTCCCATCTTGCCCCTACCATCAATGGTGACTTCCACCAAACGCATCCAAGCATCAAATCGGCCATTTTCTCCAGATGCGGTCTTGACCTCGTCCAACGCCTGAATGACCTTCAGATGACCTTCGGCATTCTCTCCCCAGGTGCATAAGAAGGTTATGATCTCGCTGACAAGCTTCCGTGTGGTGAGACGAGGAGATATGAGAGAGCTAGCAAGGGCTACCATGACCTTTTGGTGAATCAAGGCATCGTCGGCACCAAATTTGTTGTTCATAAGCGCCTTTACACACTTGATGATATCGTATTCGCGATCGAGGTTCTTGTCGATACGGTTGTTATCCTGGACTGGCCCCTGTGCTGTCTTGCGGTTGATCTTAAGCAGCAAGGTCATCAAAGCGACCTGTCCCTGACACTCGACGAATCTCTTGACCCAACCAATTTGTTGAGTTCGCAGATTGACCTCCAAACTTCCCATACCTTTCGTGTCAAGTCGATCCTCCATAACCCGCCGAACATACCATTCAGGAGTGCCTTCTTCATCTGAGTACGTCGTGATATCGGGAGTTGCGGTATACTGGTTCGGGCGTGCTGTTTGTCGGCGCTTCTGCTCGCCCTGCCATTCAGTAAGTCGATCCTGATAGAGCAGCGTCCACTTCTTCTGAGCTGGGTAGGCCATCATCTGTCTCCTGGCCTGCTCAGGGAGGTTGTGCCATCCTCGCTTCTGCATCAGTTGGAGGAACATCTGCTCCACCACATTATCGTCGTCTGGCTTTGGGAAATAGAAACCACCCTGAGGATCGCTTTGCCCTGGAGGGGGGCCAGACGGAAACTTGGTAAACCGGTGAGAATCGCGGTTCGAGTGCTGAGAAGCAGCATAAGAGCTCTGAGAAGAAGCACTAGGCATAGCTGCGTTGGGTGAGCGTGATATCTTTCCATCGATGAAGCTTGCATTACCTGACTGAATGCTCAGATTATCAGCTGAGCCCCGGGCGTTAGATGACATATATGAGTCGTATCGAGGGTTGGGAGGGTTATTAGAGTGGGAAGAGCTGCCCCTAGGCGGACCCCATTGCTGATATTGGGTCTGACGCCCCGTTGAGGCCATAGTAACGTTGCCATATCCATACCCAAGAGGTTGTCGCCCAGGGGAATGGGCACCAGACTGTGCCGACGTCCCATCCCAGCTCGGGTATTGGTGAAAGTCCAGGCCATTTTTGTTTAGGTGGTGTGGAAGAGGTTCTCGGCGCACTGGCATCTGCTCGCCTTTGGGCAGATACTCGACAGGTATGGGAGAGCGTGATCCACCTCCAACGGCATCGTAGGGAATCGACGTTATTACGCCTGCCATCTGGTTGATACCGCCATCAGAAGATTCTGGGCGATCCAACGAAATGGCAGACGACTCTCGCTTATGGCGCGAGGAACGAAAACTGGCGGCATCGTCTGCGGGGTATCTCGATTCTTCGGTCAAGCGCTTGTCTTTGTGCTTACTTCGTGAGAATAGAGAACGGCCGCCAGACTGCCTCGTCTTATCAGACATGGCGACGGCGACGGCGGTAGTTGTGACAGAGCGGTCGTGGCCGCGACAGTCGTCGAAGCGGATGATTTAGTTTGCGAATCGTATTTCGAAGGCAATGTTGGTGTCGATCCGGGGTGTACAGTAAGGAAAAAAGGAGGTGCCAGGGTTCGACGAGTCTGGGGAAACGTTTGCCAACAGCTACCAGATTGAACACGTGAAGTTGGCGATGTGCTGGCCCAGGGCCGCTCGCTTCATCGGGGGCACGATATCGCCGTTCAGGAAAATATTGAAGTTATTCGGGGTCCGGAGCGTAACTCGAATCGGCAGAAGTGCTGTGGGTGGTTTTGAAACCTTGGTCGTCTGGAGTTTGGTAGAGTGGGAAGAAACGTGCGTAGATAGGGAGGGGGTAAAGTAAGGTAAAAGACAAAGAAAAGGCCTAAGCTTGGGCTTTGAATATCCAGATGATGCCGACGGATTGTTTCAATGAGTGGTGCCAGAATAGAATAGAACAAAATAAATTAGTTGAACTGCAAACCGAATTAAGTCGAAATGGTGTGAATAAAGGAGCGTAGCGTATCACTGCACAGCTGCAGTTGGTCGTATAACGTTAAGAGTTAGGTAGGTCGTGCAGTGTGGTGTAGCAGCAGCTGTAGCCAGCCCAACCCAGAGACGGGAATGACTTGGCTTCCAATGGGTCCTTCTATGATCAGGGATCTTGGGGCCAAGCCGAGGGTCTATCAAGATGAATGCGGATTGGTTCATTTGTTTACGGGGATTATGGACCTAATATTGCTTAGCCGCCGCTTGATCTTAGGTTTAGAGCGCATGCAATACCCAAAGCGAGAGGCATATCACTCCTTACTTAGGTTTGATCTTTATCTCGACAGAGAATGTAGTAAATTATCATATCAGTCGCTTCAGCTGAAGTTAATGAGTACAAGCATGTTGTAATATACTTCCCAGAGAAATAGTGTTATATTAGCATGATCATGCATGGATGTTCATTATGCCCAAGCCCTATGACTGGTCTGAGAGACATTTTTTTAGCATCGACGCCAGGCGGGGAGTTTTCTTTAGCATCAGGAGATCTGCCAGGGGAAGTGGGCTCTGTAGATTGAGGACGCGCAGACACATGTCAACCTGGATAGAACCTAATGAAGAACTTGGAGCGTAAAGAGAGCCTGGAGATAGCTACCATCCAGATGTCAATAGAAGATCATGTCTGCCTGAAAAGTCCTCAGTGACTGATATCTGTGTATAAGACCCTCCCTCCACTATTAGTGATACAGCCTCCAAAAAACAAGCAACTCATGACCCAATACCGGAGACTTGGGACATTTGAGTTACCTTTCAATGAAGACTCGCACAACCAAAAGTCCGTACGAGGATCCATGACGATTTAGTGTGATATGCTGCAATGAACACATTTGAGGTCTATGATCTGCGAACCGATCTGACCATCGTATAAATGGTTCGTGGCTATTCTTAGTTGGGGTTTTCAGTTGCGCCAATGTGTGACACTCCTCGAATGATGAGATCAGTTACACGACCATTTATTTTAACTCAGTGTCAAAAATGAATGCCAGTCTCTTTGTCAAAGTAGCTTTCTGAAGCTGAAGCAATAATTACTCATACAATCACGCATTTGTCTCAAGTTCCCTACTGCGACTCTACGAGCATCTCTATTCTTTGTCTCAGGAAGATCAAGATCCATCCATATCCGTCCCCTACCATTCCGAGACAAAAGGATCTTTCTCTTTACTTTATCCTTGAGTCTTAAGCGAGGTCGGCTGTCTCAAATTCCCCATTCCGTCCGCTACCAGTTTCTGATTGCCGTATATCAGTGGGTGTATTGTTGAGATAGCATACGATGGTGACGTGTCCCATGAAGATGGAAGATTATGCACATCTTAACAGCGATACACTAAATCAACGGCGTGTGGAAGTGCCGACGATAAAGACAATGCGGTAAATGTGAGATTCCGATGGATTGGGTGCTTGACGCAAAGAGAGTTGAAACATAGGCTATTAGATAGGTAGACAGAGAGATATTGACGGCTATAGTAACGAAGCTAATAAGAAACCCATATGAAAACTGTCCTCCCTTCAAGGAATTGGGTAAATATTGCTGATTGTTGAGATCATTCTAGAACAATATTGTACATGGCTGTTAGTGATGATGGATGGATTGGCACTTTACCCCCTTGCAAGTCTGAACTCTTCTGTTGGTCGCCCCTTTTAGCGGGATCTTCGGCGTCGTCACCTCCCGCTGGGCCCTTGTGGCTTCAGCCACGTTTCCTGCTGTAGCCTCAGGGCGATCACGGCAACCTCCAGCTTAAACATCATGACATTTTCGGCCTTGAAACTTGCTGAGCCGGACTCCAATACTGTCGTTTGAGATTCCGACACATAGAATATGGGCGCGACAATGTCCGTTATCAAGGTAACAAACCCATCATGACAACTTATTCCCATGCTCCGCTCCTGCTGACGTCCATATGATCGCTACTAGACGCTAATTGTTCCCGCCGTCATCTCCTTGATACTCTTTATCCTCCTCACATACGTACTCATTCCTCTCTGGCGCCGATATGCCCGCTACAGCCAGTACCTACCTCTCGACACACTGTCTTCTCAAACATCGTCTCTGCGACAGCGCATAACGTCCCGAATAGCCACTTGGCGCTCTAATCGCGGCGTCACGTTCGCATCCGATGACGCCTCCAATGACGGGCTGGAAGACGATGATGGAGAGGAACTTGGGAACGTCGACGAGGATACCTGGCGCCAGATGGAGGCTGATACTCGTGCTGCTCGGCCAGACAGCACCAGGCGATTAAGTAGAGAGTAAGTGCTGCTGATTGGCAACCTTTGTTGCACATCTCCCTATACAATAGTGACTGACATCATGATTGCAGTCTTGAAGAGGGTTTTAGGGACGATAGCGACGATGAGCCAGACCGGCTTGCAAGGAATAATTTTAGGTCATAATGTTTCAATTCAATACGTTTCTTGCACCCTCCGGGTTCATGACAAAATACCTTACATATATATCAAGCAGAACACATCCCTGAGGTGACAGAAGAAATAGCCGGTCATACTTAATATATTAAAATACTTATTTTAATTTAGGAGAAAACTGATAAAGTTTAGTATATCTTTATATATCTTTATATCTTTATAGATTTTCATTTTTATTATCCTTTTAGCTTAGGATACCTTTCAAGACTACTTAAATGCTTACCTAAGTATTTAAGTAATCTTGAACAAACAGGCTATTTCTTCTGTCACCCCCAAGCACATCCTCTTCTCCAGTGAAAAATGCCACTGACAGTACAGACACATAATATACAGCTTATACGGCAATATTCATCATAGTCCAATGTGATTTTGAAGCAACAGACTGTTATTTATTCATCGCTTGTTACACCTCTGACCCAATACTCGAAATCATGTCGCTGAAACTATATCGCTCTTCATCCAAACTTCCAAAAACGCACCCGTTTCAAGGACACAGCCAACAAAATATGACCATTCTTCGAAAGTGAAAGAGCGACAACCTGATCCTTCATGCCACCCCGAAGGGCCAAGTTCTCCGCACGAGACAGAAGCTAGATTGTGATCACGACGCTATTGGCTGAGCAGCTTCCCTTTCCCCCTCTGCCTTCGACTCTGCCTCTTCGGTTGACCTCTTTGGTTCATCCTTCAGTGGATCAGGGAAGGTCACTACTTCCTCGGTTTCCTCCTCAGGTATATCTCCCCTGGGACCAACATTCGTCTTCTCGTCGATAAAGCCCGATGCTGGTGTGTTGATCCTGTCCTTGCTTGCGTTGGTGTCATCAACTGATGCGGTTCCCACGGCAGATCTGCCCACCTCTCTTGATATACGAACGTCCAATGGCGGTTGCTTAGCGACTTCAGGTAACTTCCATGAAGTGCTGGCTTCGGCAGGATTGGTCTGATCAGGGTCGCTAACATTCCCGACTGGCGAAATGGACTCAACTGTCTTTTGCTTATTTGCTTCAGCCGGGCTTGGATTCTCTCTCATCTCGGTGCTTGGCCCTGAGGGCAGGTTTCTCCCCTCTTGCTGACTCGGGAAGCTTGCAATCTCAGGGGCATCAATGGCTCGTCTGTACCTGCTTGTTTCCTCAAGATTCCTGTTTGATGGAGGTTCTATAACGACATTCAGCCAGGCGAGTCTGCGAGCCTCGCATTCCTGGAACTGCTTTGTGAGAGACCTAAGCCATTCGTCATCCAACAATCGGCTCGCCTTTTGGAACCTCCATTCGTACCAGGCGTGCTAGGCCTCTCTGGCACGAGAAACGATCCGATCTGGAATACCGGTATATTGCCTTGGCGATGGCGATGGAAGCATTTTCTTGGCATGTTCTTCCATGCGGCGGCTGCTAGGTTTGCCGCATGAATCAGATGAACAAAAATCGCATTCTGACGGTATAACTTGGCCCTCCTGGTCCATATTGGGTTGGGGAGATTTGAGTGTTGGAATAGCAAAGTGGTCACACTCGTATCGAATGGGGATACAATTTCCCATAGGACAGTATTGCTCACCTCCAACAATGATAGCATCGCTATCAGGAGTCCGAGAAACTAGACGATCTCTCAGATGATTGTGCAAGCAATGGTGACCAAAGGAATGACCACAAGGAAGATAGACTCGAGCCTCGCAGCTCTTCCATCTCCTGTAATCGCTGGTCGAGTCATGGAGTTGCTTGCTGCACATCATACAATGATCCGGGCTCAAAAAGGGGTATAACACTTTTGGTTCGCGAGCCCTGGGATCTTGTCTCCCCAAATTTACGAAACCTGACGGATCTGACGGTCCGCGCTGGTGAGTAGGCCGTAGTTTTCGTACATTATGGATAAAGAAGCCCCTTTCCCCCTTTCCTCCATTTCTTTGGAATAAGTGTTCTAACCCCTTGCTCCAGATTCTTTTGAAGAAGCATTTTTTTCGCCCTTGTCTCGTTGTTTTCTTCAGCTGGGGTTGAGTAGGAAGGTCTCTGCTCAGACTCGACTGGTTTATGAACCTCGACGACTTGTGAACTTGAAGACATGCCTTCCTGCCGTAATGGTATGCTCTTGAACCGTCGTTCGAAAGACCCTGACATCCTGCGCTCCACCTCTGTGTCCATGTTTGAGTCGTGAAGTTGCTCATAGCAACTGGAGTGATGAGCGAGTGAGCGGGTGAGTGAGCTAAAGTAAAAGATGGTGATTGTGATGGATGATCTTGACGATGTGTTTTGATGATGATGATGATGAAGAGGAAGAGTTCTATGTCACAGGGGCATGTTCTATATATGCTTGCTTGCTTTCCTCGATCGGATATGGGAGACACTCTCCTTTCACTGCCCTAGTTGGTAGGAGCCTTCTTCTTTATTGTCGTGGAAATGGTTTGTGATGCAGAGGCAGTATCAATTCCCCGAACGGATATGCCTCTCTAACACTGCTCGAAGGAGCCATTCACACATTGGGCTTGAATATAAGCCTACCTTAGGTAGGCAGGTAAGCTTCCTCCAAATTTCCCCAGGGCCGTATTTATCTTACCTACCTAGGTACCTCTCAAGGTAGGTCCTTTTATATCACCCCGTGTCGCCTCTCATGAGTGTTTATCGTAAATAGTCACTGTCTTATATATATATATATTTATAAAATAAAACTAAAATAATAAAGAATCATAAGTATATATACTTTGTAATTTATCCCAAGTTAATATAAAGAATTCAAAAATCCTACCTATCATATACATCTCAGTGGTGGTGAAGGCCAACTGCCGAGACCCACAATTCGCGACTTCCGGCCTTGACATCACGACTGATTCATCTAAGGCACCTAAGGTAGGTACATAACAATCCCTTTTTACTTGCACCATTTTCTAACATCGCGACTTCTAAAGATGCGTTTTCGTACAGAGCTGAAAAATATTCGCACATTCGCAAGTAAGTCCTTCTGTACCTAGGTATATTACCTATGCCTCCGGTGCTCTTACTTCTCCTAGATGGCTTTTGCTAATCGTGAACACAGAGCTTACAGCTGCACTTGGCTCTCTTGAGAAGATTGCCTGGTTGCGCTTGAGCGATGACACTGCACGATTCACTGTCATTCCAGACATGGGATCTCAAGTATGGGCGTACGTCTTCTTCCTTCTTGGGCTATGCCATTGCTCATAAACTTCAAGGTCTCTTGCCATGGACTTCATCTTTGATGGCTATCACATTCAATCCGCCGAGGCAGGTAATACCATTAACTTGGAGCTTCCTCTTCAACCGCTTCAACGCGCCCTCAAGTCTGCGCTTAACAGTATCTCTGCTTCCCTACGCCTCACAAAGAAAGACGGTTTGCCAGTTCTTTCGATGACTATCACAACGACTACGTCAGCTGCCAACCCAGCTGGGGCCGCGAAACCTTCAGGAACAGCAACTGGCGATGACCCGTTCGATGATGATGAAATGTTTCAGGCAGAGCACCTCGAGACTTCATTAAGACGGGAGCATGAGAAGATCATCACGCAGGACATACCCGTTCGTGTCCTCCATCCAGAGACTGTTGAGACTATCATGCAGCCTCGAGTACGCGAACCAGATGTCCACATTCAACTGCCCCCTCTTCTTCAGCTCAAGGCCATCTCAGATCGCTTCACCAAGCTTGCTATGGCCTCTAATTCTAGCTCTTCTGCCAATACGAAATCACCAAAACTCGAGCTTAGCGCCAACATGCACGGTGGTCTACGACTGCGGATTGCAACCGAGACTACAGATATCTGTAGTGTGTGGTCTAACCTCGAAAACCCAGAGCTAGACCCTGCACAGCTCGATTGTCCCGTGGAGGAGCATCCGAGTACAAAGTTTCGGGAAGGCGGCTCCGATCGTTGGGCGACTGTTCGTGTCGATGGTAAGGACTGGAGCCGTGTTCTTAGTGTAGGTCGCTTAGAAGGCAGGGTCATTGCCTGTTTTGCTGACGACCATGCGTTAATCCTCTACGTCTATGTGCCTCAGTATGATGATGCTACAGCGGATGACTCTGTCGTGACAGTGAGTTTGCCCTTTGTTTGCCCTCGAGCCCTATCAATTGTATGCTAACAATATCAGTACTATGTACAGTCATATAGTATGTGAGACATATAAAGATGGATGATGACCTTTCATATTTCAGGCGCTGGAGCTGGGTGGCGATTTTATGACGGATTTTGGTATTAAGTTGGGCGTTCCGTCAAGTGTATGCCTGTCAAAGCACACATTAATCAGAAAAAGAAAAAGGAAAAAAAAGCCAGAAGAATTCTTCATCGTATTATCGTTCTTTGTCGAATACCTACTCGAGTCGTGATCATGTCTCGATGGTAGCATTACGGTCTATTCTCTTCCTGATCCAAAACATTACAACTCATCCGCTTCCTCAATACATTGTGTACAGTCACTGATATAGCCCCAGGCCAGCGCTCCTACAATTCAACCCATCGCAGAAATACAAGACGCAACAATAGTCTAATTATTAATACATATCAATTCGTTCCTAGTACGAATCCCCACAAGAACGCCTGAAAGTGACTTGGTATTTCACAAATCCAAACGAAAATGGCACCTTATTTGTGTCTTACTTGGCCATGACATCGACATATCGACCACCCTTTCGTGGCTTCTTCTTGTCACTAGCTTTGCGAGGCGCCACGCTGAGTAAATCGTCAATGCTGCTAGCATTGCTCATACTTGTCGTTGGTCGACTGGATGGTGCGCTGGCGTTGCTAGTATTGGAAACTGATCGAGCCATAGCAGGAGGCGCGAGGCCCAGGCTCTCTGTCGATGCCTGCTTGGACAGCTCTGGTGTTCCAGCTCGAACCTTGGGGGGCATGAGGGGTGGCGGCGCACTATTGCTCGTAACCAAAGGTGGGGGAGGAGTGCCGGTCGGAGGCGGGGGAGTTCCAGAGACAGAGCGAGGGCCGGCCCTGGGAGGAGGTGGTGTAGCAGTCTTGGCTGGTGTGTTTTCGGCGCCTGGCTTCTTATTGACCCATCGCTTTAGTTCAGGGTCATATACAAAGCTACTAGCCTCACCCAGCTTCGCCCGGATGGGCTTGCCAGGCGAAGAATCACCAGATGAGGTCTGCTCAAGGGGTGCTTTCTTGCTACCTCCGAACCAGCCACCGAAGCCCCAGCCCTTCTTGGACGACTGCTGTGCAGCTGCACGCTTGGCTGTTGAACTTGTTAGCTATGTATCATATCGATTGAAAAGGTAAACTCACCGTCCTCCTCAGCAGCCTTACGGAACATCTCGTCATTCTCCCTGTCCTTCTCCGCCTTGGACTTCTCGGCGGGTTTCATGGAAGGGAAGTCGTCGTCGTCATCATCCATGAAACTCTTCTTCTTAGGTTTGGGCTGCTCATCGTCATCTTCAGCAGTGGACTGAGGCTCATATGATGGAGGCTCATAGCTGTAAGGCTGGAATGAAGGCGGTTCGTATCCAAGATTACCGCCCTCTCCAGCGTTATGCTCACTTGCTTGCTCAGGTGGGTTTGAGGGCATTTGAGGCGGCTCGTATCCGTAATTGAGAGGCTGGAACCCTTGTGCGGAATTGTCGGTAGGCTTCTCATCGTTGCCGATCGGTGTCGATGCTGGCATTCCATAAGGCTGGTATCCAGCAGGGGAGTAACCCTGTGTGATTTGAGCAGCGGGCGCAAGGCCTGCTGGTCCGCTGAGGCCAGCACTGGTCGGCTCAGACTGAAGAACGGACGGGGTGTAGCCGTCACCTCGGTCAGCTGAGGCAGCACCAGGGTAGGAAGGTTCATATGAGTTAGGAGCGTATTCGGTAGAACTTCGTCCAGGTGTGTACTGAGATGTGGGAGAGTAAGGGTTTGCGGAAGCTGCGGGCGTCATACTATTCGGCGCGTATTTGGATGCTGCAATGCTTGCCGATGGTTGAGCAGGTGTCATGCCGAAGCTAGGCGACTGCTGACCGTAGACGTCAAAGTTAGAAACCGATGGTGAACGACTAAACTCTCCAGAGGGGCGATTGAATGGTCCTGCCTCTCCGGCACCTCCATTGTTCTCCTCGTTTTCATCACCTGCGACGAACTTATTGAACCTGTTCCACATGCTATCCGAGACCTTGTTCATGCTTGGCTTGGAAATCCATGAGCCGCTCTCCTCCTTCGGTGCTTGCTTCAATCTCGACATGAAGTCTTCAACAGCGGTCTCGAGAACATGATGATGGTATGGCGATCGCTTAGTTTGGGAGGACATTGCCGTCAAGATGGCGTCGCAGTACTGCATTGCCTTATCCCGGTGGCCATACTCAGCAAGTGTCATTGCATGCTCGAGCTTGTAGGCAGCAAGATGAGGTGTGCCTGCGGCTGCAAGAGCTCCTCCTGCAAGAGACAGGCCGTACTCATAGATCTCGCTGAGCTGGAGTGCCTCTGTTTCCTTGGCAAACTGGTCAGACTGTTGTCTATGATCGGCTCCAATGAGCACGAAGTTGGCGTTGGGGTCGTCAAGACCACCGAAAATAGACGCATGACGGCCAAAGATGAAGCAGATGTGGGCTGCCTCAGCTCGTCCATAACTAGAGAGGAGATTTCCGAGGGCATTCAATCCATGGATATCATCGGTGCTTCGGTTGCTCAGGACAAGAGAAAGAGTCTCTCGCCACTTATCCAGCCCATCGAGCGTATCCTTAGTAGGTCCTGAACCTCCACCAGTGGACATCAGTTGAAGACCAGCCCGAGCATGGACAGGAACTAATTCATCCACACAATCCTCGAGGTTTCCAGAAAGAATCTTATACAATGCAGCCATAGACTCGTTGGCATGACCGGGGTAGTTGACTTCTTTGCGGACGAATTCCTGTGCCACGCGTTTGTAGAGATCGCCTTCCACGGTATGCGAGATCAACATGGCGTGACCCCAAAGTCTTTTATCAACCAGCGCCCAAACAGCCTTGTCTCGGTCGCCCCTTAGAAGATGATGACGAATCTGATCCATGGATGAGACATCGACACCATCGGCTTGCATTGAGGTAACCGAGGGGACTCCGGTATTAAAACTAGTAGCGGCAGGGAAAAGCGTATCATCACCTGTGGACGATGCGTTTTCACCAGGTGAGAGGACATCTCGAACAGCTGCCTCCACAGTAGGGTTACCTTCCAGTA